TCGGCTCCCCCGCCCCCAGCCATGGCTTTCGCCAATTTCCGCCGCATCCTGCGCCTGTCTACCTTCGAGAAGAGAAAGTCCCGCGAATATGAGCACGTCCGCCGGGACGTGGACCCCAACGAAGTGTGGGAGATCGTGGGCGAACTGGGTGACGGCGCCTTCGGCAAGGTTTACAAGGTGAGAGCGCTGGGGGTGGGTGGCCCGGGGCGCCGGCTCCGGTTACTCGGGACCACGACTCGGGAGGGCGCAGAGGAGCTGCCTGGCCCCGAACTCGGGGTTCCAGGTTCCTGTCCTGGTGCCCCTTGTTCTTTAGAGGGTGGGGGGAACCTCGCCTAGCCGGGCTGAGTCCCCGCGCGCTGCCCCTCACCCCCAGCTCCGTTTCTGAGCACTTCCTGTGCGTCTGTCACTGCGCTCGGCGCCGCAGGGGGAGACAAAGGGGCGCTTATAGGACCGTAGTTAGCATCCGCGAGGGCCACCGAGGTATCCGGTGATACTGGGCAGACTTTTTAAGAGCGCGCACGCACATGCGTGAGAATGCCGGGGCGATGGACAGAGAGACTAGGCTGCTCCTGGAAAGGTTAGGACCTGTGGAGTTGGAGACACACCTGAAGATGAGCCAGGGACAGAAAAGGTGGAGGGGTTTGCCCTAGAGTGACGAGTTAGGCTTGGAAAGGTGGGCATGGGGCTGGGCGGAGGGCGAGGGCGGGGCCTCGTGAATACTGCCCCGAGGAGGTCAGATTTGATTCTGTGAATGACTCACAGCTGGGGAGTCTCCCAGCCTGCAGCCACCTTTCCCCTAGAGTCATACCCAGCGGAGAGCTTTTGTGGAGGGGGTGGTCCGGGCCCAGCTGATTAATTCTAGGCACGTTTGCAGTCTGGTTCCTGCTCCTGTGAACCAGTTTCGAGAGGCAGAGTTGTGTGGGGACCCAGACGCTTCGGGCTGGACTCCACCCTTTCTCTGATCTCCTTTTCCCAGGAAACCCGTTACTGAGAGAATCCGCCAGGAGGGCGCCCCCTTCCAGGCCACACCACCCTCCTTGGGACTCCTGTAGCTTGCTACTGAGAGAATCCGCCAGGAGGGCGCCCCCTTCCACACCACCCTCCTTGGGACTCCTGTAGCGTGGAGAGCACTCTGACCCCAGGATTGCCCTTTTAGGAGGCTGGACCCCAGGAAGGGCTTTTTTGGGTCCCCTCCTCCCCTCTCCCAATGCCCCTCAGGACTTGCTCTCTTTGCCTTGAAAGGTGGTCTAGTGGCTAGTCACTGATGTGTGGTGCCTGGACTGGCAGCGTTAGCATCACCAGGGAGCTTGTTAGAAATGCAGAATCTCAGGCCCCACCCTAGACCTACCAATTTATCGTGCATTTTAACAAGATCTCCAGGTGATTGCTAATAAGCACATCAGAGTTTGACAAACACTGTTCTAGAGGCAATTTTGAGGCCAACTAGGCCCATGTGGTCTCTGTTTTGTTACCTTACTACCTCCCCTCTGAGCTGCCACTTCCTGTACCAGGGTGGAACCCCCACCGGAGCAAAGGTTCTGTGGTCGGAGGGGTTTTGATACCTTACTACCTCCCCTCTGAGCTGCCACTTCCTGTTCCAGGGTGGAACCCCACCGGAGCAAAGGTTCTGTGGTCGGAGGGGCCGAACTCTGTAGCAGGACCTCTGTACTATTCGGGGCCTCTATGTCGCTCCCACCCGTGGCTCTCAGGCCGCCTTGCTTTGCTGCCCTTCTCTGCCTGAGGGTTCTGCGTGTGTTGGAGGGTCACAGGCATCGTCTTTCCAAGGCACATCTTTACCTTTCTCAGAGCTGCATCATTTTCCTAGTGGCACCAGGAAGCTGTCCACGGCCTCGCAGCTTCCCATAAGTAAGCATCCTGCTGGTGTCCTCGCCCTCCCAGGACATAGCTTGCACTTCCAAATGTGCTCTGACCACCGGGAGGGCAGCTGGTCCCTTGGTCAACTCACCGCCTCCTCCACGTTTTCCAGAACTTGCATTTGGTGTTTTTGGTGCATGCTGTTGTCTGTGCGTGATGTTTTTTTCCCTGAGGGGTGGCTCTCAATGGCAGTCTTGTCCCTCTCCCCCCAGTGTATCCTGGCTTCATGTCCTCGTTCATTTTCTTTCCATCCTAAATGCCCGACTTGGCTTTTGTGCTGGTGACATTGCCCCTTGTGAGTTTCGGTTGTCATTTCCTCCTCTTCTAGCCTTGTGAACCTCTGCTGCTACTTTGGAAGCTTCCTACAAAGGAACTCATCTGATTCACCAGTTATTTTGTCTAAAACGTCTACTGATGATGAGTCCAGTTCTCAAAGCTGTGAGCTGGCTGCCTCCCCTGTATCTCCAGCCCCATGTTTTTCTCAGAATCAAGACAAGAGAAAGCTAGACCGAGAGCTGGGTGCTGGATGATACACCTGGATAATTTGTTATGTTACCTGCCTGGCCTCTGTGTGTGACCCTCTGATCCAGCCCAACCTCGTGTTGTGCGTGGGGACACTGGGGCCCAGGGAGAGGAAGGAACTAGAACTCAAGGCTCTGGGCTTCAGTGTTACACTTTCCTTAGTTGCCAGCTAAGGAAGACCCATCCTGGGTCAGAGATCCCTGTCACTCAGGCGTCCTGCCCTGGAGAAGTGCTGCTTACTCAGCCCCTTATAGTTGAAGTTGAAGCAGGTGTCGCTTTACTAAAGACTCTAATGAGAGACCATAACTCCTTCCCACTTTATTGTTCTCTGGCATGGCCACCGTGGCAGTACAGGTCACACGTTCCATCTAGGTTTCATGGCTGGTACCAGAACTTGCATCTTGACACGGCACCTGGGGAACCAGTTGCCCGTGAGCTGGGGAGGTGATGGCCAGCACCATCTCCTCTCGCTTTTCTAGAACCAGCAGGTCCTGGCAGCCTGGGGGATAAGGCCTTCCTGAGAACTTTCCTGGCATTCAAAGCCTTAGAAATCCCAATTTGTCAGTTGCTGGTCAGGAGAGGACTCTGATGGCAGATTTCCTGATGAGAGTCTTGCAGAGGCTCAAATCCTAAACATTAGCAGTTTCAAGATATGAAGCCCCCTTCCTCCTCGTCTTGATAAGCCATCAGTCAAGCCTCAGGAGAAAAAAACAAGGTAGGATTGATTTCTGAGCAAAGTCAAGCTTATTCTTCCCTAATCCTTATGCAATTGCAAATTGATTTCAGAAGGTAGTCATTTTTAGTTCATCACTAGATACAAAGTAAAGGTCACAAGCTACATTGTTTCAAAATTCTTGCCCTTAAAAATACTCTTTATTCTGAAAACAAAGGAGAAGGAGGAGGAAGCGTTCGATACCATGTTGAGTAGAAAAAAGCCTCCTCCAGCGGGTGTGCTTGCTATCTTAGCACGTGAAACAGGTCTACACTCACGTGGCTAACACGGACGAGGAGTGTGACAACACGAAGGGCTGGCTTAGCAGGCTGAGGGGATTTTTCTGCTGCTTGAAAACTGTATTGGTTTTGATCTTATGTCGTCTTCAAGCTTTTAACAGGTTTATGAGTTTGCAAAAAAGCGTTTTTTTAATTAAAGCAATCTAAGTCCCATCAGTGGCTGTTGACATTTTGGTGTATTTCTTTCCAGACTTTATTGATTTTTATGGTGAAAAGAAGATTTTTCTAATGCAGGGTTGTCATCATCTACACCTACGGTATTTTTTTTTTTAATGCTATCTTTTATTCCTAAGGCCTCTTCCTGTATTATTCTAAATACGTCACACGGACGGTCTGGGAAGGCTCAGCGCCCCCTTGATCTTGATCTTATTAGATGTTTAAGTAATTTCTCTTTCTCTCCCTTTACTATTAAGTTAAAATTGATTCAGCGCTTATCATGTGCCAGGTGCTGTGCTGGGCACTTACATAATACTGTCACTCTGCTGTCATGTAAACATGTGACCCTACTGATCCTGCGCTGTGAAAATCACGCAGTAAAACCGGAGGCCTTGTTAGAAGAGTGGGTCTAAGGGCATGACACTCAGAAACGTCATCAGGAGCCCATCTGAAAAAAAAGACAACCTAAAAACACAGTTGCGCAGTTTTACACAAATCGTGCAGATAAAAAATACGAAAGTATGACAATAGATATGGCAGTGTACTGTAAAAAAGACCTGTGGAGTGCTTCTGGGGAGGGTTGCGGGGGTGGAAAGAGGGTTGGGTAAACCAGGTGGACAGCGAGGCGCGAGATGTGCCTGGGTGGGGCTCAGAGCCGCGCACAGGTGTTGGAGGCACGCGCCTGCGCGTTCTGTGCATCCTTCGCCGCCCAGTTCAGCGGGGCGCGGTTTTCTGCGTTCACCTCGTGTTTCTGGAAGACAAAACGGCACGTAAGCAAATGCGAATTTAGCATTTCCATGACATTGGTCCCTAATACATTAGTGGTGCTGGGACAGGCTTGGCGTTTTCAGTGTAAGCGTTGCAGCCAAGCTGACTGTACCCCAATGCACGGCGGTGGCCCTCCGTTGGAGACCTCAGGTTCCCCCTGGCTCAGAGAGTCATTGTCAACCCACTTCCGTCAAGTGCCACATCCTGCCCTGCTGGTCCTGTTCAGACAAAGCAGAGGTTCAGTGAGGAGTGAGCTGTCAGGCCTTTCCACCCCTGGCGGCCAGGACCCTTCTCCCTTCACCCCCTCTCCTGCCTAATGGTTTAAAAGCCTGGGTTTCCGTTCAGTGTGTCGTTGTCGTAGTCTCCCCCCCCAACCCCGCCCCCTTTTCCGGAAAGAGATCTGGCCCCAGGCAGTAACCTTGTTTCCGCTCAGCCTAGTGTTTTTAAACAGAAGCCTGTGCTATTGTGAGTAGGTTCCTGGCTGGGTCCTGAAACCAAGGTGGCCTGAGCTTCCTGGGTGTGTGGCCCACCTAGGGGTCCGCCCGGGTCGTCCAGTAGCTGATTTAGCCCTTGCCACACTGAGACTTTTTGTGGCTGGCTCCAGAGCAGGCCAGGGTGAAGTGAGTTAAAGAACAAACCAGAGCCCCAGCCCCCACGATTACCCGGGGCCCCCTGGCCTCCTTAGGGTGCCTGGATGAGGGGCTGCCGTCCCAGGCCCAGCTGCTGCCAAGGGCAGTGGAATAGCATGGTAAGGGTAGAAATTTGGGGCTCAGTAGGACCTGGGTTTCCACTCCAAGCAAGTGATGCTGCTCCCTCTCTGAGCCTCGGGTTCTTGTCTGTAAATG